ATGGAAGGTCAGTGCTATAAATAGTTTACCACTTTTTCTAAGCACATCTAAATTGTTAACCACTTTTTAGGGGTTAAGCTCCTTAAGCTGTGGTTCAGCCGTCCACCATGTATGTAGTAGTAGTAGTAGTAGTTACTGTCGTAGTAATAGGTACCCGCCTCCACGGCCGGCCTAGAGGTGTGGCATGCGCGCACTTTTTTGAATTTAGGAGGAAACCAGCGCATGTCAATCATGAATAAAAAGGTGTTTCTCATGAAATATCTACAGAGACGAGCATCGGTGACTTAATCATCAATAAAATTTGCCTTGGGTTTGACGCGCACCAAATAAAATGGCCCTGAATCTGCATGTTACACTGAAAATGTCGTCGAAATACAATAGTATTGCGTATGGAGAGAGTGAATAAAAAGTTTATTTGTCATTCTGCGCAAGAAAATCGGTGATTGGTTCTCTGGGGGCGCTCCGTTAGAGTGCCTCGAGCGTGTAGCGGAGGCGAACGAGCACATCGAGGCAACTCAGACACGAGCGCCATCTCCCATCTTTGCAAACGAAGGCGTGCGCGCGCCCGCGGATAAAGATGCGCGCCTGTCTAGGAGGTGATAAAGTGTACAACGCAAAGCGACGGGCAGGTGCCAACACCGTGTCGTCTTAGAGAAGCGTTGGAAACGCCTACCTTTTTGAGCATCGCGTTGCACTGTCAGTGGAGCGCGATAAACGCTACACTCCTTAGAGTTACTTGTGTGTGCGTCTTCTAGTATAAAGGCACACATACAAAACACCAACGTGCTGTTATGGCGCCTCATGTATGCGCAATAAACGCTTTTCAATTGACAATCGCACAACAATGAACGCTGAACCTTGAGCAATATTGGTGGGCGCTGCGGATGGGGTCGGCCGTTCGGTGCCGTTTGAGGTATCGTTAAGGGCGTACATAGAGACAACTCTGCAGACAGACAGACAAACCATTTTTTTTTTCATTGAAGGTCCCCAAGAAAGACTATCGTCTTTAAAAAAACTAATAACCGAAGGACGCACCTTAAGCGCTATCTGACCAGAAAACGTGGCTACACTGAACTCACAGGGCGTAACCTCCTTAATTTTAGCAAAGTTTAAAAGTTGGGCAGCTGAGCCATGAATTAGCAGTGGCGAAAGGTGGGAACTAGACACGAAACTTAGACCACTGCTCTAGTCCGGCAGTGCCACGTTTAGTCCTTGGAATGTTCGCTGGATGGCGGTACTTGTATGTGATAAATATACGATAAAAAGATGTGAGATGGCAGTACTCAGAGCGTTCATGGACAGACGCACGGACGGGCAGATAGACAGATCTACGGACGCACGGACGAATGCACGGATGGACGGATGGACGGACAGATGGACGGACGTATAAATTGTTGCACAGACGAACGCACAGACGAATGGAATCAAGAGCAAATGAACGGATGGAAGCGCCGACGGACTGACGGAGGCTTCGCCCCACTTATCATTATGCACTCCGTGAATATACCGTGAGTTTTCTACGAAAAGCTATATCAGAGCGTAAGCTTGCCAAAGGGACAGTTTTGCACTCTCCCATAGTAGAGTACCAACTACTCTAAATTGTTAACAACTTCTTCTAAACACACGAGTAGTACCAGTTGCGATGCAACAATCAACCCCTTAGAGAGGCCCGAAGCAAAAGTAACGCATAAATGACGCTTTGTTCGAGGGTGAGTACGTGAAAACCGAACGTTCCAAAATCGACCACTCGAGTACCGAACAAGGGCAGGCCTGCGCCAAACGTAGAGCGTTTGGCCTCGGAGTGATCATGGCGATTGACAAGGAGCAAACGATGTAGGATGTAAGTGCACGGTTAGCTTTTATTGTGATAACATTTATATGGACACTCTCGGTCGGTTTTTGCCGCCAGCATCGGCGTTGACCATCATTCCCCGTATATGTATGCGTATCCATGTACACATGAAAACGCAAGAAACAAAAAAAATCACAGCATATCCATGGTGCCAATGATGACGAGTGGGCGAAGCTCCGGTGGGAATCATCGGTAAATCGTGAATCTTCTGTACATTGTTCGCCTAGTTGATTATCGTGTAAAGACATGAGAAACACTGTGCGTATATATACAAATCAACTTTTATTTGTTCTTAGAGACAATGAATGGCTCGTGATGTCCATTCATTATGACGGCTCTATGGTCCGTGAAATGAAGGTTGAGCGGTTTTTCTATAGGTTGCAGTGAAAAATTTGCAAATACTAGGTCAATGCATGTGCCTCGGATCTTGGCTGGTTTCACATGGTCATAACGATATACATCTGAGTGCATGTCTAGAAGCCACATGTTGGACAAGCCAATTATCGTTCGTGTCAGCATCATCAACTACAAGTCGTTCGTCAGCCCGTCCATGCTTCCGTCCGTCCATTCGTTCTTGCTTACGTCCGTCCGCGCGACCATCCTTGCGTCCATTCATGCACCCGTCCGTGAGTCTGTCCATCCATCTCTCTGTCTGTCTGCTCATGCGTCCATCTGTCCGTACGTCCACGCGTCTATTCACCCGTTCGTCCGTCGGCTAGTCTGTCTGACCGTCCCTCCGTGCTACAATCTAATTAACACTACACGGACTGCCATCTCCCATCTCGCATCCCTTGTGGCACATACCCGCTCTAGAGTGGGTATGCGCCACTGGTGGCTACGTATTACAACATACATACAAGGGATGGACATACCCACGCATTAAGGATCTTCGCCTCTAAATATAATCTAGCAAAAAATTTCAGAGCATCTGTACCTTTGATTACGCTTATTGCATCGTTTTCGTTTGAACAGTGCGTCAAGTATCGAACTGTAAACGCGGTTAGTGGGTTCTCCTGCCGCGTGTGTTGTTTTCATGCGTCATTTGTGACAAGTGTGCTGCACGATTCGATCTGCTTGCCTTTCTCAGCGTTAAAATCTGAGTTGTTGCTATCGCATTCATTGCTTTGCCCTTGCGGCGAAACTGTGACAATTTTATATGCATGTTCCACCTTTCCATCAGCGTCCGCAGTAGTATTGCGTGTGTGCAGCTCCCCTCCTTTCCTCTCTCTAACAGCTGCGCGTTGCTCTCTCTGCTTTTCTCCACCACCTGCTTTCGCTCGCTGCCCGCCCTCTCTCCTCTAGGAATCCCTCCCAGCGGCGTTAGCACCTCCATTCCGCATGCACGTCACTTCCCATATCCTCTCCTACACTTTCCCCTCTTTCGCCTCAACGCCCACGTAGGGCACGTCTCATAGCAAGTTTCTTGATTCATAAAAAAAAACGATTGCTCACACTGCACAACTGTTCACGGGGCACCCAGTATATATAAGCACCGGATCTTAACCTACAAGGTAGAGCCGCAGGGATATTTCTCATGTGCCTTGTCGAACAATAAAAGTTCGCATCATGCGCATTAACTAAAAGCGGACTACGGGTCTGTGTGTTCAGTCGGAGTCTTCTGTCTCTCAATGCCCACAGTGATGGAAGCTACATTTTGCTTCCTGGAGCAGATTCTGGAGTAGGAAAACTGGTGCTTTCGAGCAGCGTTAGGTGTCTCCGGAGCAGAAAAAAAGGCTAGTTGAGGGTTGCTATTGGTGTTTTCGGAGCCGACGTGTGTTCCTAACGACTCTAGAAGTCTAATCAAACATTACTTAAGCGTCTAATAAATATTTATATTTATTAATAAACATGCCGTATAATAGTATGCAGCTAGTATACAAGCAGTGCCGTAGGCGTAAACCATGGGCGGAGGAGTCAAGAAAGTTTAGACTTTTTTTGATGTTCGGACTGTGGAAGACACCCCTTGAAAGTGTCCTACTGAAGTTTTAGCTTTAGCACGTTATATAATTGACATAACAGTTAATTATAGTGCTATAAAATTTTTAAAGGTTTTTCATCTCTTACTGCGTACCTGTGGTAAATGCCCCTCAGATGTGTGAACTATGGAAATCGAAGAAATGTGAGAAAAAGAGACTGAATAGAACGATGCAACTGCACAAGCTCGGACCCCATGCTCACTTTTTAAAATTTCATTTGAAAGCAAGATTTCATTCCTAAATAAATAAAAACAACAACCCATATTAAAAATATGAACTGGACACCATGTCCGGATATGTTTCACCCCTTGATATTTTTCTGGATTTACGCCAGCGAGTAGCATACTAGGATGACAGTGTACACAGCTTACTTTTGGTTTCAATTAGGCTCACGGTATGGTCCCGTGGTTCAACTTCATTCTTTTCAGTTTGACATCTTTTCGGGGCAGGTTTGGATCAGTTACTAGCAAATATCGCACTTTGGAGCAACATGAAGCAGTAATTTATCTTTTGGATAAGTTTGGAGCTATCGGAGCGGCACTTCCATCACTTCCATTAGCAGTGATCGGCCTGTTCTAGTAGAAAACACCGGTCCACCACTGCGTGATTTGCGCCGCCCAAAGTTTCTCTCCGGCGCAGTGCCGCGATGAGCGCCGGTGTCAGCGTCGCCGCCAGTGTAAGCGTTAGCACCCGCTGCTTCACATCTAGACATGGTTCTCTTTAAATAGAGATGGCGCAATTTCTTGGTCGATGAATCAATAACAATTCATCATCTTCGCCATAACTTCTATCGTTGCAGGTGTTCTTGTCGATCAATATGCATTTGCAGCGGAACAGATATATTGTACTGAGGCAAGACCTTATTTTGTCGCATTGTGACACAAACATAAAAAAAACTTAAACGTGCGACAGTTAGATAAATGAGATTGTCTAACTTGTCAACTGCTGAATGTAGTTGGCGTTCATGAAGAGCGAACTGATTAACAACTCAGTTCATTTAGGTACACAGCCTGCTTATGCGGTTGTTTTTGTTTGTATTAAGTTCTTTGGGTGAGTAACCAAGACACAGCAAGATAGATAGCTCATATCATGGATTGAACCATCTGCATGTCAGTTAATAAATTTTGAAGTTGTGGTTTGCTTCACTAAACAACGGTCAACATTGGTCTTACCGTGACGTAGATGATGGCGTCGATAGACTGGTCCAGCCTTGGATGATGCAGGCGCCGTAGTCCATGGCGGAACGGGAAGTTGCTGATGGGCATCGGGCCTGGCTCACGAAAGGTAGCATGTGTGCAGCGAGGAAGGACGTGATAGAGAAAAGAAAGTAAGAAAAACGTTCAAGGCCCATGGTAGCCGAACCTAATACGAAAATTTTAAGCGCGTTCATTGAAGCTCGTGGTCGTTGAAGAAGACAGCATTATCCCCAAACATCTTTACGTGTAGCACCACAATGGCAATCACTTCAGACTGTTTTATGCATGCCGTTATTCAAGGGCTGTTGACGAAATTTCATGTTGTGCTTTCATGTTAACAGCCTCGTTAGAGCTGAATCACAGATGGTGTCTGAGGGTCGCAATGAACTGAAACCTGCTTTAACTCGTTCATTCAACCCTCGTTAGTTCGAAAACCAGATGATTCGTACGGCTCTTTCACTCTCAGCTGGCATATCTACTTTTTCAAGGCGCCAAACTCTCGCTCATTCGGTCATGCTTGCCCGAAACCCCGTTTGAGCTGATGATCACTGAAACACAGCAAGCTCGAAGCATCCCAATCTTGCGGTGCAAAAGAGCTAAAAAACGTTCGAAATGGGGCGGCGCAGTCCACATTGCCATTGTCAACAGCACAAATTAGACAGAAAAGCCGAAACGCATCACGCCTATTTGCGTTTATAACTGCATGTGATAACCCGTTAATGAAGCAAATTAAGTCTTTGGGCTCAAATATCTTTCGTAATTAGATAATTCCTCATTTGTCGGTAGAGGAATGTAGCGGGGTTCTTATCCTTAACGTAACAAAACCAATGAAAGAAAATTATGACATATCTACGAAGTGGGGAATGACGATGAGTGGGCGAATTAGTGGGATCGTTCGGGGTCACCTTAAAGTTCCCTTGACGTTGGCCACTGTCGCGTGTAAAGGAGTGAAAAAGCTGTGTACAGCTATATACAACGTTTCTTGGTGGTAACTGGTACGTTGTATTGAGACGCGAATTTCGTTTTGCCTTCATAATTACTACTTTGTAGTATCTTATCTAGCCCGAAGTGGGCAAAGACGAGGCCTGCGCACGTTCCCATGGTGGTTGTTGGTTGTTCCCAGTCACACAAAATGCATCGTAGGGCACATATATATAGACTTGATATACTGGAGAAGCCAGTCTTTTTCCGTGATCATCATCGTTATCATCTTCATCATCAACACGGCTACAATGCACGCTAACGCCACTGACGGACAAGCGTCGACCTTGAGGGGAGCCTCGCCCCTATAATAAAAATAAGGAAGTGCAGATAACACGATATTGCCTAGTTCAGGCATACTTTCTTTTTCGCGTTTGACGGTGCCCGTTGACAAGAAGCCGGAAGGGATGGTAAGAGGAACTGACACGCCAACCCCAACGGCTTATTTTCGCAACGCGACCAGAAAAGAATTCTCGTGGTCTGTTGTGCGCACGTTCGCGCTCCGACAATGTCGATTGAGGAACGAAAGTAAACCTACAAGGAACATCACATGAGTGCCTGAAACCAGAAAATAAAATTCATCTTCACGAGTAATCGTGACCTATTTTAGGGGCGAAGGTCCTTATAACGTGGCTTGTGCGTTCTCCGTTGTCGTTGTTCGTAACCACGGATGTACGGACGAATGCAGGGATGGACTCATGGACGGACGAAAGTTTCCCACCACTCATCATTATTCACTCCGTGATTATTTTTTCTCGCAATTTAGAGCCTCTAAAAGGGATACATAAATTACTATAAGCAAATTTTACACGAATATTTCGAGTAAAGGTATTAATGTCATGGTACACAAAATATTGCTCTTACTTGACTAACTGAAAAGTCAGTCAACTGTATTTTCTCCACTGCAAGAAGGCTTTCTGTTTTTAATTTCTCGTTTTCTTCAATTCAAGGATGCCAGCTGTGAAGATTGGGCGCTGCGAACCTGCCTTGCACATCAATAAGACATTTGACTATTTTTCATGCACAGGTGACACACAGCAGTCTGAACGAAAACGCTGAAGTCAAAAATTGTATGTGAGAGTGAGGAGAAGGAAGAATAGAGAAGCGCCAGCAGCTCTCCCATTTCCTATGCCTTCACGCAACCCATGAGTGGCTGCTGTAGTTGTTGTTATTATTATTATTATTTATTATTATTAATATTTAATTATTATTATTATTATTATTATTATTATTATTATTATTATTATCGTTGTTCTTGTTATGTTTGTCCCTATTATCATTGAACTAGCCGTTACAGCTCCGCTTTTGAAAACTCGGGCACATATATAAAAACGTGAACAACACACTGACGCAAATAATGCCATCTCCTTGATTACGCATATGGTAGGGCATATCATTATAGTACGGAACGCAACTTAAAAAAGCAGGTAATCAAGGTAAACAATTGCATAGAAACGCCCCAATGTAGCAGGGTGAGCCTGCTAATATTACTTTACTTTTCTGAGAACGTATTACTGGGTTGTTTGCCGAAGCAGTTTCTTAGATTCGCTTCACGGTATTCGATTCAGTCATTGAGCATCATCGTGTGCTCTTCGAGGGTTCTGGGACCACGTTCATTATGGAACTGTAAATAGGGGACTTGTGTAGTGTTTGCTAAGAAATTAACGTAATTAACGTTTCTTGTTATCTCCGATAACCTCGTTTTTACCTCCGCTACTACTTTATATATATATATATATATATATATATATATATATATATGAAAGCGCATCTACTTTCATATATATATATATATATATATATATATATATATATATATATATATATATATATATATATATATATATTTCTTCGCTTGAGCGCAAATGCGGGTTTTCCAGGAGTCATTCTATAGCGCTACACTAAAGGAACGTCACTTGATACAACAAAAAATTGCTTTGTTAGGGTCTATAAATAGCGTTTACTCAAACATATTTGAAACATTGTTTTGAATTATGGACGATTAACTAAACAGACTGATGCACAACACGAAATAAATAAATGTAAGCGAAAACTCGCTTGTCACTTGCCTTTCGCTTCATCGAGTTTTACATTCTCATTTTTTGTTTGAAAGATGCATGCATAGTTTTTTCCCTGTGTGTAATGAAACAGACCAAACGATTCTTCGGGCGCCGCTGGCAGATTACTTCAATATCAAGACATTTTCACCGTTGCTATAGTCATATTTCAAGTGGGTCTTTTTATTCAGTGAACAAGACTTCTCTTTAGTGACCGTGCACTGCCGATAATAAAATAATAATAATAATAATAATAATAATAATAATAATAATAATAATAATAATAATAATAATATATTAATAATAATAATAATAATAATAATAATATATTATTATTATTATTATTATTATTATTATTATTATTATTATTATTATTATTATTATATTATTATTATTATTATTATTATTATTATTATTATTATTATTATTATTATTATTATTATTATTATTATTATTTCAACTTTGTTGCAAAAATGCTTTTTTGTTATTTTACTGGCGACGTGTTTTTATTAGTTACATGAGCATCAAGCACCTAACAGTCGTATAAAGACGAGGGCCCCATAGTATAAATACTGAAAACAGAACCCTCAGTTGAAAACTACAACAAAAGTGAATGGATTAGCAGGCAGCCAAAATAAACTTATACAAGGCAGAATAACGTGTTTATACAGGCCTTTTTATTTTTCATTTTTATTTTTTCTTTTTATTTTTCTTTTTTTTTTGCACACAGGCACAATATACAAGTAACCGCTCTTGTGCGACACTCTTTCTCCAAACAGTTTTTTATGGTATCTGGCTCTGTAAAAAAACGCGCTACGCCGTCAGAACATAAAGTGGCAGAATGTTCAGGTCCACGGTACGCACCCCAGAAACGAGGCACACATAAAGGTAATTTGCCTGCGAGTCTCTACACACGAGCGTTGTCACCTTCAGATGTTAGGCAAATGTTTTCCTATTCGTCATGTATCTCAACGTGAATTCCTATGGCCATGAAATATCTAGTGCACCAATAAGACACCCGCTATATACGTCTCTGCATATACCCCCCCCCCCCCCCCCCTTTGTTCGCATATTTTTGAAGCATGCGAAACGGTAAAGTTACAGGCCCATATTGTGTCGCCTAAGAACATTTCAAAATGGTCTAAACAATATCATAAATAGAAAGAAAAAAATGTATAACCATAACCGTATCCGTTTCACGTTGCCAACACCCTAAATCGACCTGCCAATTTTGTACTTTACCGCCACACAAATACACGCGGCCGAGCTACGTTTTTCGTTGTCAGAGTGTGCGCTTACTCGCCGGGGGCGATCTTTGTTTGCCGACGACAAAACCAGTCTACGGCACCATGCCGATAGCACGCGAAGTAGCGTGACTGCAAATGCCAGGAAGGAAAAAATACAAAAACAAAATGGCGACCCAACCGTATGAGTCGCGTCCACGGTGCATTGACATTTGCAAGCAACGCACGAGTCTGACCCGTGGCGTGAGGCAAGTATCGTATTTCCTCTTTGTTTTATTGCCATTCGTACAAGCAGATGAAGCGAAAGAAAGTCCGCATACGGTTATTGGTTAAATCAATCGCGAGAAGAAGTCGAGGTTTCACCCGGCAACGCGGTGAAACCATGGCAACAGACGTTGTTGTGTTCAGTCGTGTCTGTTGCTCGCCGACTTTAAAAAATTAAACTTGAGGTTCCTGCGAAGAGTGGGTGGAGTTGCCACATGGCCTAACCGCGACGCTCCGCGAGAACTAATTTAACGCGCCCACGCACTTCGTAAAAGAGAAGAACACTACAAAATAGTGGGAGACGTTATTCTTCATTCGGGACTTTGTTTCGAAATGGTTAGTCACCCTTTTGCTCTTTATTCTATTCGAATAGACTTATCCAATTCGAATACGCCGTAAACTCTAGGTCGTCGTCCACGCGCAGGAACACTCGTTATCGCAAAATCAACGCACCAATACAGCGGCGCTTAGAATTCGAGTTAGGCAGTATCATACTAATTAGTGATTTGCTGTTTGATGTATT